GTAAATTTTACTGTTTGGCGCTGTTTCGACACTGTTTGGCACTGTTTCAACACTGTTTGACACTGTTTGGCACTGTTTTTATGTAGGATAACTTTTCATTTAAGGAAATGAGAACTTTCCATTGAGGTTCCATGTAGTATATTTTTGCTGTGCCGTCTATGCAATGACACCAAATCATTCAAGTCCGTGATTTCGTTTCCCAATTGATTGATTGATTGAAGTCATCCCTCCCAACGAAAAGCTTAATTTGATATTTGGACATTCATTATCTTTAGGAAAATGATAGGATCCGATAACAGGTTGGAAAACGATTCATGTAAATTATGCTATTTTTGTCCTGTAATTAAATTCACAATAACATTCACACTAAACTCAAATCGATCATACATCTTTTTGTATCAAGAATTTGATTTTTACTATTCAATAAAACTTTAACTATGTTTACTTACTTATAAATTTTAATGATTAATAATAACTTGATTCATGTAAATTATGCTATTTTTGTCCTGTAATTAAATTCACAATAACATTCACACTAAACTCAAATCGATCATACATCTTTTTGTATCAAGAATTTGATTTTTACTATTCAATAAAACTTTAACTATGTTTACTTACTTATAAATTTTAATGATTAATAATAACTTTATTATTATCAGGCGAGTTCCCGTGCGTAGCTTGGGGGCCAATCGAGGCCTAGGCTCACCCAAATTTTCCAAACAAATTTTTGTACCGACTCACCCTAATATACCGCCCTACTAATGTCGCTGCTAAGATTTGATTTTAGGATTAGTTTGAGAGTAACACAGTGTTGACTGAAAATCACACATGATCAAACGTAGGATCGAAATATACTTAAATCAGTTCAATGGGATTACATGTAATTATTAAATGGAAAGTAATTGGATATAAATTAAACATTGTTATTTCTCTTCTATTAAATCGACAGTGTTCCTCAACCCCTGACTAACCATTGGTGGTGAGAATCTTGTGATTTAAAAACGGAATTTTATCAATTCAGGACTTGAAAGATAGATTAATTATCAATCCAGGACCTGAAAGATGAAACATATCGGTATAGGATCCGAATGATGGAAAACTATCAATTTAGGACCTAACTTTCATAGGTTTTGATTTTTTTAAGTTTTTATTAATTCCACTACTAATTTTTGATAAACTTATCTTCGCAAAAGTTTATTAGTTTAATAGAACTAAATAATTTTTTTTAATTTTCTAAGGATGTTTTTACTTGGACTATAATTTGCTGGTCTGGTCTGATCTGGTCTGGTCTGGTCTCAACTGGTCTGGTATGGTCTGGTCTGGTAAGGTCTGGTTTCTTTGTATTTTTATAACTATCCAAGTCTGGTCTGGTCTAGTCTGGTCTGATCTGATCTGGTCTGGGGCAAATTATAGTCCAAGTAAAAACATCATTAGGTCCTAGAATGGTAGTTTTCAATCATTCAGGTCCTAAATTGATAGTTTTTCATGATTCGGGTCCTATATCGATGCATTTGATCTTTCAGGTCCCGGATTGATAATTCGTTCATCTTTCGGGTCCTGAATTGATAAAATTCCATTTAAAAACATACTCATATGAACTAAACACTTCTCGAGAAAATATATAGAGTACACCAACATAGAAATTTCGGAGGTCTGTAGTTCGATCCTGCGTGAGGGCAGTGTTGTAAGAATTTTACAAATAGAAATTACTTAACCGACAATGTGCATATTTTGAAGTGCCAACTCAGCGGCACTATTAATTTGGACATCTGTGTTGGGTAATTATTTTGACTCCGCCCTCAATTTGTCTCACGTGGCTGTTACCGGTGAGCGTAGTTCAACTGGTAGCGAGGCAGTGTCACATGGGTTAGGTTTTGGATTCGAATCCCGACAACTGCGATGAGAGGTTATTATGCTGAAAAATGCATAGGGCTTCTGCAAGTACCGGGGACAGGGCCCCACTCTCTATCTGTCAGATTGTGATTATAGTTCAATTAACATCCTTCCATCGTGCCGTCCGGTCGGTGTTTGGGGTCCTCAGGGATGAGGTGTCATCCTTTTTTGAGAAAATATATAGAGTACACCAACATGTTCACTACTACTCACATTATCATGATGAATTATCAGAACTTATTCATCTAAAAAAATTCTCTAATATTGGCCATGTACATATCATTATTTTTATCTTTTACTACACAATGAGCCTCTTTAGGAATCAGGATAACATATCATATCATAAGTGCTTTCTCATTTTAGCACACTTTTAGTTCTATTCAAATAGCGTCAGTCAGTTCTTCTATCACTTATTTCACGTGATTAGTACTACGTATATCTCTAATGTTTACCCTCAATAATTTATTTCTTTTTATCTTATTTAATTTCACAACCTGAATCGGTTGCAAATTCAAACATTATTTAGTAAACGTAGCTATAATGGGGATGGAATGTAATGAACGAACTGACTTCCTCGTTAGATGGATATAGTGCCGTTTGGCAGCCATCATTTTTGGCTTTTCAGGCTTATAAGTCAATTTTTTCACCAAACACGTAACTTTTGATTTTACTGGCTGAGTTGTGTAATAATAAGAAAAAGTAGAGTTGAAGTTACTTTTCTGACAGTATTGGTTGAAATTACTGTAGAGGGTCATTTTAGCTATTTTTCATGTATTCTTTTCTTTATTTTATTAATAAAATGTATTTTAAATTATTGTTTTTCACAAATCAGAAGAATCAGCCAATACAGCCACATCAATCAGAACTTCATAAATTTCAACAGAATCAGTCAATGCAATCAATTTGGCATTTTGGCTATTACCAAACGGACTCATAGACTAATAACCTTTGTTATATTTCAGATTAATTTATAATGTCTCACTATTAACTTCAGGATTGAGTCATAATACCAAGGCAGAACCACAAATCATTAAAAATATTATATTGACTAAGAAAATCCTAAATTCCAACATACTTTTAAAGAAAAACTGTCAAAACCCCTTGTAATGTATGAAAGAAGTCAGTACATGAGCCTCTCAAATGAAAAACGCTCGATTTAAACCTTCGTTTAGTTCATCAATTAAGTTAACTTCCAATTACCTTTTTTTTTTGAAAAGAACTTCCAATTACCTAGTCATTGACTCATTGTGCATACGTGACAAATCATGCGACACTTTTTTACTTTTTTACGTTTTCTTTTCTTTTTCTTCTCTCCCTCAGCTCCGGTTTCTTCTTCAGCCCGCACCAACATTTCTAATGCTCTCTCCCTCCCATAAACTACTTTTCACTTTCCTTTGTAGGCACTCCCAAAATTTACTTCACACTTCAAAACTTTCCTTATTTGGCAAATCGTCTATATCAAAACAGTGTCAAACAATGTCAAACAGTGTTTAAACAGTGCACTCCACAGTAAAGTCAAATTTATTTCTTAAATATGTGTGTAGGTCAAAGTAGGAAGTTAATTGCGGGACGGAGGTAGTACTTCATAGTTCTTTGAAAGAATTGAAATTCATGAAGAACTAATCAACCAATCCGCACATAAGAAAACAAAATAAGTATGGCTGAAGTTATTTTTCAAACTGAATTGTCTAAAGTTACTATAGCGGACCATTTTACCTATTTTTCATATATTTTTTTCTTCATTTTATAAATAAAATATATGTTTTGAATATATATTTTTAAAAAATAAGCAGAATCAGTAAATCCAACCACTTGGGCTAGAACTTCACTTCATATTTAAATTACAGCCTATTCGGCCAATTTAGTGTTACCAAATGCGCTCATAGCCCAATATGTTCCTTTGAGCTTTCGTTGGATCTTTAATGGGTTATATATCTTTTCATGGATGGATTAAGCAATTAAGGAGGGAAAAGCAACAGCAAGAAGAGTAGGAGGTTGGACCAAGTTCTATAGATGGATTTAGAAGAATTGCAGCGCATCCTTACTGAGCCTGAGCCATGGCCTCTCTTCTACTCCGAAGGAATACATAAAAACCAGAGAGAGAAACTAAGCTATTGAATGCAAGTTGTCAACCATTTACAATATAATAAAATAAAAACAAGTATTTATCCTACAAGGTGGTAAATGATGGTGGTGGTGGTGATGTAGCGGGTCCTGGGTGGTTAACCCTCAACTATAAAATCTTTCATATATGGTGCATGAAATGCAATTCCCGCCAATTCTTCTAGAAGATTAAGCTAGGTGTCCATCGATAGCAATCCGGCAATTCTTCAAGGAGCCTTTCCCGCCCGGCCCATGCCACCCGAATTTGGGTTCCCTTATCACGTTGTTGGGCCGATGGGGGTATGTGGCTCTGCCCCATGTTGGCCATATACCCAAACATGTACTGAAATATGAATTAGCATCTTTTAGTTATTTTAATTATATTCAAAATTACTATAAAGTAGTGACTATGATGTAATCTTTGAACATAATTATAGTCACTAAAAATTACTAAGTCACTTTTTTGTCCATGACTTTTCTATTAGTAATATTTTGAGAAACCCGCAATAAGAGACCTTATAGTGAGTACGAATACATATATTTATTCTAATGTGGCATACACATATAGTGAGAACCCGTCTTAAAATGAGAAATTTTAATCATAACCTTTCATTTATTGCAATCATTGCTTAATATTCAAAATCAAATGTGAACAATGCTTTACGTGAGAACACCACATTTACCCCAGTGTGATACACAATGAGGCTCACCTGATGCACTTTTTCCCGTTAAACATTATATTTATCAAAATGTCACCGCAAAGTTAAAAAGTGCATCAGAATATTTCCTGATTTCTATTGTGCATAACGTTTGATTATATGTGGACGTTTTCATATTCCCACGTTAAAGATCGGACTCATTGGAACCACACTTTATATACATAAACATAAAAACAAATATGGAGTGATCAGACAAGGAGTCCCCACCTTAGAATAAAGCTAAAGCAAGGGGGGAAGATTATAAACCCACAAAAAATAAAAAAAGGTTTATATAAATGATGAGCCCCGCAAGTAAGAAATACTACCACTACATGGTTGAGAGGGACATAAAATACACTATTGATCCTGTGAAAAGCAAACACTGTCAACCCATGAAAGCTTCAGAAAAGCCTCGTTTGAGAGTGCAATTCAGGGAAAAGATGTAAACCAAGTGGTTTGTAGCTGAAAGAGCAAAAAAGCTTAAAAGAGAAGCAAAAGGGTTTTGTTTTTTGTTTGTTTTTTTGCTCCCATACCATGCCAAAGTATATCTCTTTTGATTTTCAAAAAAGAAAGAAAAAAGAAAGGTTCTTGATCATTCATAACTTAATAAAGAAATATGATATCTATATATGATATGATGCAGTGGTGGATTTGGAGGTTGTAGTCTTTAGTGGGTTGTTAATTGGGAAGCAATTTCAGTGGCAAATGATGGCCGGAGGAAACCCTAATAACTGGTGGAGCGTGGTGGTCAACGCAAGCAATAACATGGAACCGCCACCGCAGCCGGCGGCGCCTTCTTCTTATCAGTTCTTACAGTCCTCCTCGCCGCCGTCTCATGAACAGCATCAACATTTCTATGGATCTTTCAATTCTTTGGCTGAAGCCCAAAGCCAAGATTTTCCACGCCCACTCAGCCAACTCCTCATGTATCTCTCTCTCTCTCTAACTTTTAGTTTTCTCATAGTTAAACCTGTAAAATGAAAGTGTTCAAACTTCAATGCATCCACCATAAAAAAGATAGACTTCCATAGCTGATCATACTTCATGAGGCTTTAAAAATTAGCACTTTAGTTTTAATAATCATGTTTTTATTATGTTGTTCTTTTTGGACTTTGAGCTTCAATTCAATTGGACATTTGCTTGATTTTAAGGTTGACATTCATGTTTTCAATTGACAATATTATTCAAATTTGCTTTAAAAAATTCTACATAGTGATCAAAATTCCATGTGGAGAGTCCACCCTCGAGTGATGACGTGAACAAAAGGAAGGTGAAGTGAACTTTACGCACAGAATACGGCCGCCGCCACGTATGATTTTTTGGCCGGGAATTTGAATTATATTGTCAATTGATACATATATGTATAGTTATGATACCGATTTGATTCATTTAGATGTTAAGATACCAGAACACAACAATATCAATAACTAAGGCACCATTTATGCATTTTACCACCCGTTCTTTTCCATTATGTATTGCCAGCTTTTTAATTGTAATTTGTATTGTTTCTGTCTTTTAATTTCTTAGCAAATGTGCTCTTTGGGACATTAAGAGATCAGATAGAAGAGACTTTGGAATGGAAGTAGTATGAGGAAAAGACTGTTTAATTTGTTAGCTTATTGTTTAATTAAGAAGGATGGAAAATTGGGAATATGGATTGAAATAATGAATTTGATGTTTTTTTTGTTTTATGCATAATTAAGGTGTGGATTGGGTGGCAATGAAAATGAAAAGTTTGGTATGAGTCATTTTCAGTACAAGAAGGCTGAGGAGAATTGGGATGATGAAATTGGTTTGAATAATAACCATAATCCATCATCATCTGCTGCTGCTTCTGTTGATAATGTAATTAAGGAAGATGATGAGTTTGATAGGATTGGACAGATGTACGGCCAGGATCCCATTCCTCTTGTACTAGAAGATCACCACCGCCGATATTTCCAAACATCTACTGCTTCTGTAGCTTCTTCTAGGAATCAGCACCAAAGAAGCCCTTATAGTAAGTCTCTGCAAGAGGAAAACAGACCAGATGCTTCACAGCATTCATACGAGGTAATTAATCCTACAATAATTTAAATATTGAATAATATTAAGACTTTGGGTTCCATCCTAAAAGGTCAACTTGATAAGAGTGTCCAAAGCCTTATATAGTGTTTAATTGTGTTAGCTTTTCGGTATGGAACAAATACTTTAACACGCCCCTCGGCCCGAACCGGACTGGACAATGTAGGGGTGTATAAATGGGCCAAAGTAGCCGCCAAACAGACCCTTAACAAGCTATCTGTAATCATGGGTGCTAACAAGCAGTCAAAACACAACCAAAATTGGCTCTGATACCATGTTAATATTATTTTGTGTTTATTTTCACTCCCTTTACATTATTTATTTTGCTATAATGTCATAATATTAATTATAATCTATACATATATATAAAGTGTTGGTGTTCTATAGAAGGAAATTAAAAGATCGGATTAACTATTATTTTAGTTTCTACTACTTGTGATACATCAATCAAGCGATTGTCCAATATTCTTTCTTGCTCTGTTCTACAAATATAATCCGATCCTGATCCGCAACATAGTACTAGTATTATTTATTCTTCCTTCTCAAATCTCAATCATGTATACCTCTAATTAATTAATGTATCTTGGTATTAACTATATATATATCCTTTATCCAATTTAACAACATAATTGATGTGATCGGAGGATGTATTTGCAAAATTGTATTTATATGTTATTTTTAGTCTTATCATCTAATTAAGATTTTGTCTAGATTACACCTAGTTATTATTTAATACTACGTATTTCATTTTAGGGAAAGTTACCGAAATAGGACTAAAAAAGTTCGAAAGTTCCAAAATAGGACTGTCATGTTTTTATTCCCAAAATAGGACTAATTACTGCCAAATTTGGAAAATACTGCCATGTTTGAAGTCTGGTATTGCCAAAACATGACAGTAATTAGTCTTATTTTGGGAATAAAAACATGGAAGTCCTATTTTGGAATTTTCAAACCTTTTTAGTCCCATTTTGGGTAATATCTCTTCATTTTAATCCCATAATTCAAACATTTGGCATGTACGTAACCACTCATTTTTTATTAAATTCCATATATTTAGCGGAGTCTGAAATCATCACGATTCACGAGTTTACTAAAGAACTAAAAACTCAAAATTTAAAACATTTGAAAATAATCTAAAATCCTCATTGAAATCAAAATAGTGTTTGTACTTGTAAACTGAAATCCGAGACAAAATAATAAAAAATTAATACATGCATGTGAATGAAATATTCAAACTGAACTGTTGATGAACAAAAATAGTTGTTGCATAGCACATTTTCTAAAATATGATCGTCAGGGGTTTCTCAAAATGGGATTCATTGATTCCTAAATGTTTTTTTTGTTTTATTCTATTATTAGAACATTTTTAGTGTGCTTTCAATTATATTATAGAATATATTGTAGTTAAATGTTAACTTCCTTGAATCCGATGATCGGTTTGGATCTAGTAACCTCCTCTTTGGAAGTGTCAAAATGGTGTCATCGAACGCAAATTATTTGGCTTTCTATTAGAACATAATAACTCATATTTTTGGAATAAAATACAGTTAGTCTTACTTTTTAGCTTGGTAAAAAAAGTTATACGTTTTGCAACTTCTTTAGAATTTAATTATAATGTCATGTGTCAATTGCGAGTATATGTTTGAAAAATGAGAATTCACAAAAACTCTACAGAATATACTGACAAAGTTGTGCGAGAGTTTGATGTCATTACACATATTTATTCACAAATCTATTTAGGTGGGCACGCACGTAATTACAAATTTACAAGTACCTAACTAGCAGAAGACCAAAGACAACCCGGCCATATCTTCAATTTGTTTTAACCAAATAATAAACACATAGGACACACATGTAGTACATGGTACCTTATACTGCACTGTAGTTGCTGCCCTACCTGTGGTATACGTAGTGTGAGATTTAAAAAAATACGAGAAACTGAATTTTATTTGGGTTTTGGCATCAAATAGAAAAAGTACTACAATTGATGCGGGAATAATGATTCAATTACTTGGGGACATATCTGGCAAGCTAGGAAGCATGGATACTTCACTAGGGTATCATATCAGCGTATCGGAAACGGTTCCCGTATCAGATACTCTAGAATACATGTACCGTACGTTCCCGGGCCCTATATGCAATTTTTAATAGTTTCCAACTTTTTTAGTAATTATTTTAAAATTCCAGATACCTGTATCCTGACGGATACACGTATCAAAAAAATCTATAAAAATTACCCAAAATTTGAATAATAAAATTTTTAAAAAATGAAAAACTTAAAAATAAATTTTACATTATCCAAGATGCTTCAGTGAAAAATTTGTATTAATTAGAACTTTAGTTTTTATATTAGAGTATTGTTTTCTATCTCCTTTATCCAAGAACTTTGAATACTAATAAAATATTAATTTTGGTTCTCATGAATTTGATAATGTAAAATGTGTTAATGCCATGAATAATGGGCAGTGGTCACTGGTAAAGGGATAATATATGTATACATTTTCAAAAAAAACTTGTAATTTTTAATATTTATAAATACATCCCCATATTTTTTTTATATTTATAAATACACCCCCATAACTCCTAATATTTATAAATATATCCATGTATCTATATCCTACTTTTTTGGATTTTGTCGTATCCCGTACCTGTTTCCGCATTTTTGCGTCCCCGCGTACCCGTATCGCTGCTACATAGCTGACAAGTAATAAGTTTGTCTTATTAAAAAATCCACCAAAATGTAAACTTTCCGGTGAAAGTCTCACCCAAATGTTGATATCAAGCCTAATCTGATCTGGTCTTGTGTGTTGTGGTTTAGCATGATCTAATCTGAGAGTGAAACTAATTTAAGTAATAAACACATCTTTATGATTAAAGTGGTAAGACTATATTAATGAGCACATGCATACAACATACATTACGGGAATCTACACTTTTATATGCCAAATATCTTGTGATAATGACATCACTGCTGATCTTCCAAAGAGGGGGTTGCAGGTCCGGATCCGAGTCTCATACCAATCAAAGATGTTGGCATGATCATGAACAAATACTATAATGGATTTAGAGATATTAAAAAAACTACACTTTTATGTGATTGGCGCATATCCTAAATTATAGGAGTAATAATGAAATCACAAGATATTAAAAATGTAGTTCAATGCATTTCAAAAACATACATAGTACGTAGTATATAGTTTGTTATATCAATAACGAATTTGTCATCTCCACATTGCTATTTAAATTTTTGCTTGTTTAAAAATGATCCTCTTTGAATGCTTATGATAATTAAGCTTATAATACGTGATAAAAATGGAACTCCGGTTTCAATACGGAGTATAATTTACCAGAAATAAAAGATTATCCTGAGAACTAAATAACAAGAAACAATTATGATGTTTACAGTGTAACAGCACTAGCACTAGCACTAGTACTGGAGGAGCGTCTAAGAGACCTAGGGTCAGCCATAATCAAGCTTCAAGCCAGCAGCCATCTTTAAAGGTGATTGTATTTTTTCTTAAACTTATATCGTAGGTATTTTCACACATATCTGATCTGCCTTTAAAATCGATCAGATTATAGATTTATTATATGATGATTAGTAGCTAAATTATCGTATTTTATTAATTAGGGAATTATTATTATATATTTCAAGCAAGCAGGTCAGGAAAGAGAAGCTAGGGGATAGAGTCACAGCTCTTCACCAACTTGTTTCCCCATTTGGAAAGGTAAGTATATGTAAACACATTATTACTATTACTACAAATATTCTACAAACATACTACTTGAGCTATTACGCAGCTCAAAATTTGAGATATTCAAACTATTATTACTCTAAAAAGAGGGCACAAAATAATTAGCTAGGGAAGTAAAATGTACTACTAGTACTCTAGTAGTATACTACGTATAATGGAAGCTAAGAACTTAAACAGTAAAATTGGTAAAAACCAAGTGAATTTTTCTGGTAACTAATAACACGAGTAAAATTGTTAACTTAGATTCTCCGTATAATAATAACTTATAGGCCGTTTGACATCATTGTTTTTCGGCTTATCAGGCTTATCAACCAACTTTTTTACCAAACACGTAAGTTTTGCTTTGCGCGCTGAATTATGTAAAAAGCAGAAAAAGTAAGGTTGGAGTTACTTTTTTGGTTGTATTGGCTGAAGTTACTATAGATGATCATTTTAGCTATGTTTACATATAATTTTTTCTTTATTTTATTAAGAAAATATATTTTAAAAATAATTTTTTCTTAAATCAGCAGAGTCAACCAATGCAGCCACTTCAGTCACAACTTCATAATTTCAACAGAATCAGCCAAAACAGCCGATTTTCGTGCTACCAAACGGGCTCTTAATGTTTCGGCCACGCACGCATGTATTCTAATTTTTGTGGCTAAAATTACTTTACTTTATAAAAGAGTGGTGGTTACGCACTCCCGTAGACTTCAAAATTCCTTTTGCTTTATTAACTTTGATAACACAAATATACAAAGACACAAACCCATCAATGGCTGTCTGGTCCACAAAAGGAATCAGAAACAATCAAAAGTAAATTGACCTGTAAATGGGACCAAACACATTAGATGAGAAGTATGCCATTGTTTGTTTATATAAGATTAGAAAAAAGATTGGGGTACACACTTTTTGTACACAAAAAGTGTACACTCGTCTGTCTCCCACAGACAAATTGTCTGTCGCGAGATGAGTTGTCTGTGGACAGACAACTCATCTCGCGACAGACAATTTGTCTGTGGGAGACAGACGAGTGTACACTTTTTGTGTACAAAAAGTGTGTACCCCTAGCAGGCCTCATAAGATTAACTCACTTTTGAGAAAAAAAATCAACTGTATTTATTATTTTATTAGAATTAACCAAGTGTCAGGGTTATATACTTGTGTCTTGTTGGGACATTGCCTAAGTATTCAGGTAAAAATGGCTTATCATTAAATTGTGAAACAATATTTCTTTTCATTAAAAAGGACTTGGTAGAAATGACTTAAGCATTCCACCACAAACAAGTGTGCAAATTCAAAAACATGGACCGGGGTTAGTCGCATTATTTGAAAGAGTGAAATCGTATGAAGGTATTAATGTACTGTATTATACTCCCTCCGTCCCAAAAACAACTTCCCACTTTCCTTAAATGGATGTCCCAAAATTAACTTCACAGTTCAATACTTTCCTTATTTGGAAAATTATCTACATCAAAAAAGTGATAAACAGTGCCAAACTGTGTTTAAACAGTGTCAAACAGTGTTTAAACAGTGCCAAATAGTGTTTAAATAGTGCCAAACAGTGTTTAAACATTGCAAAATAGTGCACTGTACAGTAAAGTCAAATTTATTTTGTAAAAGTGTGTGAAAGTCAAACCGGGAGGTTGTTTTCGGGACGGAGGGAGTATAATGTTGCTACATTACTAGAACATTTGTTTAACATTTATTACCTTGCAAAATTGGGATGAATTTGAGGTATAAATTGTACAAAAATTCCTTTTGTACACGTTTTTGTACCCATTAGTACACGCATGTGTCTGTGAAAGTTTTTTTTTTTTGTCTGTGAAGCGCGGTCCACAGACAAAAGCTGGTTTGTTTTGTCTGTGAAATTTTCCACAGAAAAAACAAGCCAACTTATGTGTTTGGACCGCGCTTCACAGACACATGCATGTACAAAAACGTGTACACCAAGAATGGTTGTGTTGTAAATTGTAATGTGTTGATGTTTTCTCTTTTACAGACTGACACAGCCTCCGTCTTGTCAGAAGCCATAGGGTATATCACATTCCTGCACTCTCAAATTCAGGTCCCTCTGTTAGAAACTTTGTTAGTTTTATTACTATTATAGTATTACGTGTTATCTTTCCCTTATTCTACTATTCTACTGTGATTTGACACAATTATTAAATGAGTGATTAAAAAAGTAAAATTTGTGATTGATATTTATGTATAATAAATTGAAATATGGTAAATCACATATTTCTTTCTAAAAGAAAAATGTAACTCTTATTTTAGGACAACCTAAAAAGGAAAGTATGAAAAGTGAAATGAGATTGAGGGAGTAGTTAAAACTTAAAACTGGTGAATTTTAAAACCCCTCTTATTAATTAATACTCCCTCGAGGTATATTTTTTATGTTTAGTTTAGCACATAATAGAAAATAATAGAAAAGAGTGAAACAAAACAATGTTAAAGTATTTTCATACATTGATAAAATATAAATTACGGAGTTCTAAAAATAAGTCAGGTCTCTATGACTCCTTCTCTTATTCAACATTTTAGAAGGTAACTCTAATTAATTCTTAATTAAAATGTAATCACATTTTTTTCTTGAAAGAAAATAAGAAAGATTACTTTTGAGATGGCTGAAGAAGGAAACAAGAAAGTTATTTCGAGTTCAATGAAACATACTACTAAGATCATCGGATGAAATATTTTGGGCGAGGGTCTGTTTTCTACTTAAAAATATTTCTTTCGTTCATGAATTATTTTTCAAATTTTCTTTTTCATTTGTGCCAAATAACTTTTCCGTTTCCTTTTTTGGCAAAAAAATTGTGGTTCAAAGCAATTTCATTTTAATTTTACACATTTCTCTCTTTTCAACACACATTATAATATTACTATCTTAATTCTCGTGTCAAATGGATTTTGAAAGATAATTTAGGTACAAGAGTAGTTGTAGTTGAAATTCTTTGTGGTATAGAATCTGTATAAAAAGGTCTCACTTCAAAAACATAAATCAAGAAAACTATATATCTTTCTCTTTAACTAAAGCAAACCACACCTTAAATCTGAAGCCAGAAGTTTATGCAGGCATTAAGCACCCCATACTTGGGCAATGCATCAGGCAGCATGGGTCACGTTCACCAACAATCTGTAAGCTTTATTTTTATGTGTTTGCTTTCTATCCCATTTTGAAAATCATTAGTATATGCACTTCATCAGTACAAAAATTGTGAAGGATTGAAGTGTAAAGTCAAATAATTTTATACTTAAAAAATAGAGTACACATTAATGGTTTTGAAAATATAGTGCATAGTCAAACATCTTCCAAAAGGAGGAATGCAAAATCGAATTCACCCAAAATACTACTCCGGACGGAGTACCAACAATGTTGGTTGAACACTTAAAGTTGAAGATATCTAATGATAACGTTCTTCATTTCATAAATGACAATCAGTCTAGTTTAGTCAATAAGATTGAGTAAACTATAATTATATGACAAAAAGATTGAGGACTAAGCTCGCTAATTATAACATTAAATGTCAAAAATGTTACGAATATGAGAAAGAGAAGCTTACACGTAAAATATGTCACACCTATTCAAATACGCAGGGACGGATCCAGAATTTCTAGTCAAGGGAGACGAAATTTTTTGTTTGTGTAGGAGGCGAATTTTTTTCGCTAGTATAGCGGGGCAAGTTTTTTTCCGCTACATGGCGAACTTTTATTCAAAAGAATTCATTTGTACACACACTATAACGTTTAAATCTATTACATTCTAAGTTTTGATAGTAGAAAAATAACTTTAAATTTTGTAATGGTAAATGCTCTTGAAAAAACTATGGATACATTAAAGCATAATAAATTGCAAATCAAAGGAAATTCATTTGAAAATAAAAGGATATATAACAATTTCTCAATTTATTTGAAGGTAAAAAATTTAAAAGGTACACATCAATCAATGCATTTTAAATAACTTATATCTTGTTTAACCACATGAATCTTATGTGAATAAAGGATTGATTTTTGAATTGTAGTTTTTGTCTACCAAGGAAGGTGTTCACGAGTCATGAGAAGTTTTCTTAATATTACAATAGTATGCATGAAATTATTATTTTTAGAATAATATTATACATCGAACTCCCTCCGTATTTTCCCTCTGTATTTAAAAGTTCCCTACACTTTCCTTTTTGGATGTATTTAAAAGTTTGCTACATTTTCCCTTTTTGATAAGTTTTTCCTTTAAAAATAATCAAATAGCCTTACATTTCTACTTTTTATCTACTCTTTCCTACTTTTCCACATTCTCTCATACTTTTTCTACACTATTCATTACCCCTACTACTATTTTCCCCTTAAATATTGTGTCAATAATCCATAGTGTAGAGATCTTTTAAATATGGAGGGAGTATTGTTAATTCATATATATGGTGCATATTATATTTTTATTAATGCTAAAATAAGTTAAAGTTCATTATTTATGCAATAAATTGCTTTTAGAAAGTAAGAACTAAATGAATTGTATAATTTAATGTCAACAAACATTTATAATTTGGATTCACTTCACATGATCCAAAAACTGTTTAACTAATGTGTTTGGTATTTAATACCGTTTGATCTTTTACAAAATTTAGTACTAATTATATAATAAATATAATTAAATATTACAAAGCTAGGAATTTTTATATAATAGGCATCCTAGCTAAGTCTTAAACTATCTAAATTATTTTAGATTTTACTTCTTTTAAATCCCCAATTAAGTATTACACTATGTAATACTATATACGGAGTATTAACTTTGAAAACTAAAAGTTTAGGGGGCGAAAACAAATACATCTAATTAAAGTATGAAAATTTTATGAAAAATTTGAAAATCCAAGGGGGGCGATCGCCCCCCGCGCCCCCCTTAAATCCGTCCCTGCAAATACGAGTATTATGCATTATTTTTTTCCAAACTATTCGATCACTTCTTCCCCTATTTCAATTCGCACTTTGACTTTACAGATTTAATTTTTAGGTCGAATAATAATATCTTGTGTTTACTTTTCACTTATACCCTTATGGTATAAGCTAGTGACTTTACAAGGATTATTTGTTTAATATTTTACTATCGAGAAGAAGATGATCAATGGGTTAATATAGAGTTGATAATGTGGTGATAACTAATGGTAGGAATCCGTAGAAAAGGGAGGAAAGGATTTAAGGAGCAAAGGGTTGTGCTTGGTTCCATTGGAATGCACTCAACTTGTAAGCGTGGGAAGCTGCGGCAACATCGGCGGAGACATTAATGGCGGAGCTGCCGCAGATTACTGGCCGTCCCCTAACTCCCTTGGTGGCAGGCGGTTTTGATTTATTTAACTGATTTTGACGCTTACAAAAGTCAAGCTATATGGTGATGATATGATGATGATGATGATGAGTATGAATTGAATGAGATCAACCTAACACTAAATCTATATATACTTTTACTTCGCATACTCTAGTAGTAAATTTGTCTTAGTAAAATCTTTCCTTAAATTCTTTAACCATTATCTAAACCATTCTCTAGTCAGCTCCCTATTTGTGTCATTATCCAAACGTTCAAGCATATCTTGCTAATATTGTAAATATTCACTACAACAAAATGAACATTATGCAACATGTGAAAAATGTTACATTAAATAGGTAAAATGTTACGAAATACTTATAGCAACACTTTCAAGGGTGCTACATCAGGTCTCGTTGCATAATGTCATACGCAACACTTTTCACCATTATACGTAACATTTTCTAGAACTGTTACATAAGTATCACAAATGCAACACTTTTTTGCAACACAGTAATATGAATCTTATGTAACATTTTTCTAGTCTAATGCAACACCCGAAATTTGACTTTACGCAACACTTTATAAAATTTATGTAACATTTGTTATTTGCTCTTTTGCAACATTTATTCATAATATGCAACCGTTAATTCTAATTTAGGTAACATTTTTAATTTTATGTAACACCATTAATAAGATTATGTAACATAATTTTTATTTAATTTTAACCCATTTTTAATTATATATATGTTGAATATTTCAAGTATTGGCATCGATCTTTTCATTAGTAACACATTTAGTATCAAATTCATATATTATGCGGCAAGCAATTATTCATCAATAATTTTCATGTCAATCATATGAAATCTTGTAAACAGAACTTATATTTAAATATATCGCCACATTTACAAGCTTTTTTATCCAATTAAAATATTAATGGCTTCAAATAATCCATTATAATATAATAGCTCCATATCCATAACTTTCACTGAGCGATATTCATAATGTCGAAGTGGTCTAAAAAATTAAATAAAACCTTCCAAACGTGCTCAACAAAAAAAGGTAGAAAGAACATCAAATAAGTCTATAAAATTGTATTGGTGCTAGTGAACTGCAGTCTTCACCAAATAGTTAAACTTGATCTCATCACCAATCAACGTGCCTCTGCATCAGAGAAAATGTCAGAAAGTTAGTACTACGTATTTGATATAGTACTTGTTTCTACCCTTTTTACAAGTAATTAGTAATAAAAGTAATGCAATTAATCAATAAAAGTAATATCCAAAATTGCTGCAACAATAATAAACCAGAACCTTAATAGCACAGAAGTGTGCAATTCTGAAGCAAGAAACTGCAATTCTAGAGTGAGAAAAGTGCACTTTAGTTAGTAGCTACACTTAAATGTTGTACCCTTCAAAATTACAACAAAAACGACATTATTTTGCTGTGACAAAACATCACTTAGAAGCTGCATCAATCTGCAATAACAAAGCTGCACTTACTATCTTGAAAATCAGAATTCTACCTATTTCTTAGAGTAGTAAAACATTCAACACTCCAAAACAACTAAAAATTCCATTAAGCAATCACATAGGAGCAGTAAGGGGAGCAGTAAGCAATCACTACAAAAATGCAATTCTCACAAAAAAAAGCTGAAAATCTATTAACAATGCAAATCTGCATTTACACCATTTCATTCAGGAATACGTACAAAAATATAAACTTGAAAACGAGCATTCTAATTTCTAAGAAAACAAGAGCACTCTACACTAAAAAAGATGAATACGCATTAAACTGGCATCACTTATGATAAAAACTCAAAACTAACAACTCATTTCACCATCTTTCAGAATGGCGATAAAAGAGTCATGATCACATAAGACTTACAACTTTTGCAGCAGTATCTTCATTACACTCTTTGTATTTCCGCCCCTCAGCCCTCCTACGCTGTAATTCAAACATAGTTGACAAATGTTTGTCATCAGAATTTGAAAGGGCAGTTTCCTGGGACAAATAAATCACAAAATTTATGTATACTTTTACTGTTACTAAAAGTGTTTGTATTGTATATAATGAAATAGTGATGGTTAAACTAAATTAGGAAACTAATAACCTTACTGAAGGTGTAGTTTATGTGTTTAATCTGATTACAAACTACGCATCCTCCTCTATTACATGGCAAGAAACCTTAACCTCAATTATCCCTTCCTAAAATATTGATTAGGATTAACTCCAGAATGCACATTTTTTTCACCATTTCCATTGCAAGTTATGTCTTCTGCCAATTAAAACCCAATTTGGCAGGGGATTGCATATTAGACCAATCAATTTTTCTTTACTAAAAGATAAAGTAGAACTACACTGGTACTGGCAAGAAATAAAATGTGAATCCATCCAAATTGTAAGCAATTATTAATATTAAGAAGAATGGAATTCTTAATAGAAGAGTTCATTAGTAACTAAGGTTTAAAGAGTATAATATTCACTTTATCAGGTTGATGTCCACAGAGAGCAACAAAATTCTTATTCCTACTTAAGCCAAAATATTCCTATCACATGATCACTCATTTCATTTTTGCTTGGAAAAGTTATAATTGCATACACTTGTTCTATTTATAAAGGAAAATTCAGTTGCAAGTGTAAAAAAGAAGAAGATCGCATACTTCTCACTATTAGCGTTACTTAGAAGATGGAAGAAGAACATAAAACACTAAAGAAGAAGAAGAAGAGAAACTACAAAAACAACAGAAGAAAAAAAGAAAATGAATTAACTTGATCTTGAATTTATTTCATTACCATTAATCTCATCATCATCATCACCTCCAATTAATTGAACTTCTTCTATAAAGTCATCATCATTCTAAGCTTTTTGATAGGCCTTGAGGTAGTTTACTCCTTAAAACTCTAATAAGTGACAATGGTGTGGTATACAATTGTTTTTTCTACAGAATTGAAAACGTTACCATTAGTACGTTTAAGTAATTCAATATAACATCAAAAATACGTAAAGTGTACCTTTTTCAGAACATTTGCGCCTTCAACCATGTCTAATAAACTACTTTCTTTGACAGTAGGAACATAATTAGGATCGTTCTTGGGTTTCTCTTTCTCCGAGTATGACTATCCACCAAACTTGACACTGAAGTACATGCATGTACTTCGGCAAGTTTTAATTTGAGCATCTTTTCCTTAATCTGACAAATTCAGATTAAATGTTGCTTACTCCGCCTTCTCACAAGGCCCATGGGTTGAGGAGTTCTACATCATCACCTGGATCTCCCCCAAGGAATAGGTGTTTGAGATGCCGAAGGGCGGTGCCGCGACCATGAGGGAGGACCAGAATCTGCTGAAATTAGCCAGGAAGGAGCAGTGCCTCGCTATAGGTACTCGATTTTAGTCTTCCATAAATCAAAATAAGTCTGAAAAACAAAATCAAGTAGCTAAAACCATTAATTGCATAATAGATCAAAATCAGCCAAATCTCAAGTTGCACACAAATGACACAATATCCAAAATAATGTAGAAATCTACAAAAACTGAATAACATGATGAGATTATCATAAACATAAACATAGAAGATATATAAACTGACACAAGTAAATAGATAAGGTAAATTTAAAAAGAATTTAAATAAAATCACAATATGGAAAATAACAAACCTGGATAATAGATGAACACCTGAACTTTGGGAAGGACGAGAGTATGTTAAGGGACTCCAAAAGAGAAGATAGTTCACTGCAAATTAATGATATATTTGAATAAAACTAAGGATAGTAAATAGCTGGGATAATTATTAGAAGACCACTATGTAACGCCCCTCTCAGGGTTAAAGGAAACGTTACACTAATCTACTATTTTTAAAAATAAACTGCAGTATAACGGCCGTCTATTTAAGAAAATAACCCTGATAAAATCTCAAAAGTAACTAAAACCACTCCAAATAAAAATATAATAAAATATAGTTATCACCAGCAAATGTGATAACCACCTGGATCCAGGAATTTATTCGATATCAAATCCTCAAATAAAATAACTGAATAATAATCCCTTTATCATAATACTGAAATATTGAAACGAAACAATAACTAGCTAGAAGCCGCCAAGGTCGTTCCCGTTAACTCATCTTGGCACGCGTTCCACTCCCTCATCATCTTCCTAGGCATTGACCTTACCTTTAGTATCTGTACATTCGAAGAAAGAACACTGATAAGCTTTACGCTTAGTAAGTCACTATGGATCCACAAAAATATCTAGAAGTCTATGTCAATTTATCAATAGATAAATTTAGGCTATAAGCATGCACTGAACACATAACTAACACATAACTTCTCAAATACATTCTGAGTGAGATCTCAAAGGAAAAAATTTTCTAAAGTAATTTCTCAAAACTGCTGGAGAGATCTCAAAATTTTATTCTCAAAACATCTCTGTAAAACTTTCTGAAAGAGATCTCAAAACAACTTTCTGTAAAACTTTCTGAAAGAGATCTCATAAACTTTCTATAAACTCTTTGTGGCTAATTTTAACTGTGGGCCCGTGATATGTACTCAATGGCGCCAATCCGACAGCTCAGGGGAGCGACCCACTAAACATATCGGACTATCTAAAACTAAAACTGCTAATCTGAGGGAACTAGTTCCCGAGTACATATCACTTAATCTTTCACTTTAAGTATTAGTTCTTTTTTTATGGTGACGTTTGAATGAAAACATTATTAAATCTGGAAACAAAAGTACTAACAAATCTTGACTATGCCAGATAATAAACATAACTTAATCTAGCAATAAAATAACTCATCACATAATTCACATAGTTCACATAATAGCAAATAGTCTAAAATTATCTATTAAAAATCAACCAGACTTCTTTCTTGCATTTGGTTGAACAAACATGTACAGGTGGTAGTGAACTTACCTGTTAACGGCTGAACTCAAAATACTCAAATAAGTGTGGCACCTTGATAACGTCTCCCAGTAAGCTCTTCTTTAAAAATCTTTGATTGAATATAACAATACAATTAGCGTTATACACTATATTAACAATACCTATGAAAATTCTAGTTTCAAGTCAAATCTGAAACGATACCTAAATATACATCAAAATCAAACACCACTACCTACAAACAATACCCAAATCTGAAACAATTTCAATAATATAAAAGTTGAACGTCACTAGTTCTGCTTTTAACAATTTCAATCGTAATCTCTTAGAATCTAATTTTAACATCAAAATGCGAAATAGAAACCATACCTAATATTACTCTGGATTAGAGAAGAGCGTGGTGCGATTCAAGGCCAGAAGATATACAAAGTTATACGGAGTTCGTGAACGCCACTCGTTA